TTATTTTATTAATATAATGATATTTATATCTTGTATTTTATATATAAATTTTTTTTTCAACCGTTAGAATTTTAATGACACATAGAATCCGCGTTGCCGCTAATTTACCAAGTTTTTATATTAATCGTCAATAAAAAAACATAAAATATATTTCGACAAACGAATTTGATGCAAGTGGAAAAATGATTGACGCGCGAGACATCACCTGATTCTTATCGATTTCACCGTCCTGTAATTCAGCCTCCCCCTGCTCCTGAAATGTGATGATAATTAAGGCCACGAAGATGTTGACGAAGAAGAACGGAAAGACGATGAAGTAAACGATGTAAAAAATGGACATCTCAATGCGAAAGTTTTGGATGGGGCCCTTATCCTCGTACGTGGCCGCCATCGAGTTCTGCAAGATTTGCGGCCAGCCTTCGCCGGTTTGGACGGCGAACAGCGTTAGCATGGCCACCATCACGTTGTCGTAGTGAAAGGACTGGGGTTGCCAGGTCCGGTTCTTGAGCTCCGGTAGCATGTTATCATCCTCGAAAATGAAGTATTGACCTCTGTTGCGAAAACGAAATTAGTTCCCATTTGTTTCCCCTTGCACCATTCATGGTTTACAAAATTAAAAAATAAATATGCGATAAATATCTTGGTCTCGTGTGTATGTTTCAATCATTATTATTAAATGCTCTAATATATTTATTCATACTTTTCGAAACTTTCTCGAAGTAAAAGTAAATGGGATGATTCGTAACATACTCACTTGCAATCTTCTTCCGATAACTTGCTCTCATCGCTGCAGTAGTAAAATTTGCCATTGAACAGCTGCACCGCAATCACAGCGAATATGAATTGAAACAATATGTACACTATGAGAATGTTAATGACGTTCTTGAGACTGTTCACCACGCAGTCAAACACCGCCTTTAGCTTCGGCACGCGCTTTATTGTCTTAAGTGGCCTGAGCACTCGCAGCACTCGCAGCGATTTTATAGTCGAGAGGTCCTGGCCGGCCGAGCTGCCGCTCATATCGAAGGCGAACGACACCATGGCGCATATCACTACGACCGCGTCCATAATGTTCCAGAACTCGCGCAGGTACGAGCCCGGATGCAGTATGATGCCGAGGTCGATGATCTTCAGTATCATCTCGATGGTGAAGACGCCGGTGAACGCGTAATCGAAGTAATTGAGGATCCTGTTCCTCGGCGCGTGCTCCCAAACGGGATCCTCGGCGGCCAGCGCGATACTCGACAGCGATATCACCACCATTATGAAGAAGTCGAAGTACCGAAGGTTCACGATCCAGTGGGCGGCTCTTCTTACGCTGTGCAAAAAGTCTTGTTATTCGCGTCGAGAACAACAATCTTAAAACGACACCATCGTAAATTCTGATTTTATTCTTGAGATAAAAATATTGAAACATTGCGATCGCTAATAAAAAATATTTTAGATCTCTACTGCGCTTTTCAATGTTTAAGAAAAAAAATTGACAAATTTACTATAATTTATTTAAAAGTTATTCTTGAAAAATTGTAGAATGATCGAACTCACGGATTCGTAGGGGACAGTATAAACATGGAGGAGTATGGCAGCATTGGTTTTGGTCCCGTGTCGTCATCTTCATCCTGCCTCCTCTCTTCGGATGCTTGGTTGTCACCTCTTCCATCTCTGCTGGAAAAAACGAGATCGTTATTTATTTTGTGCTTCCTTTTCATCGATATCGCTTTTTATATTTTCTAATTAATCTATATTATATTGTTGATTGTTTTTCTTTTATTTAATAACTACGACGAGAATTATTAATCATAAACAGAAAAATTTTAGTCCGTGAAGAATGACTTTGTGCAAATTCTATCAATGAATTTTCTAAATTTTTATTCATAACTCCAAGTTGCCATAAAAAGTTTCCGTTACTTTCATTAAAGCATATATGATTAAGAACATTATTTCGATTTTAAATATAAAATGAAAAACATTTTTTACACTCTAGTTAAAAATGATTATTTGCTATAAATTATAATTGGCTATTCAAGACGAATGACAAGAGAAAAAAGGGAGACTTACAAATTCTGGGTTGGACTTGGAGGGCAGATTTCCACCTTCGGTGCACCACCGTCCCCGGGCTTCTGCAGCGACTCGATCTCCTTCTCGAGCTCCTGCAACTGCTTCTCCTTATCTTCCTCTTTCTGTTCCTCTTCGGCGGCGCTCAGCTCCTGCGCGTTTGCGAGATTGTCGACGGCGATAGCCAAGAAGACGTTTAGCAGGGTGTAGTTGCCGAAGNNNTCAGCAGGGTGTAGTTGCCGAAGAGTACCAGCACGATGAAGTAGAGCGAGTAGGCCATGCCCTGCGACTCGATACCCTGGTACATCACTTCGTTCCAGTCTTCTCCAGTCAAAATCTGTCAGCATCATCAATTATTATACAAGTTGAAGATTTTTTATTGTAAAATGATGATTAATATTGTTAGCTTATATTTACTCTCAATTGAATACTCAATTTCTATTGTGTGTAAATTTTAAGATACATGAATTGCATGTATATTATCAGCTATCTTTCAAAGATTAGCGAGACTATAAAGTTTTTCCCGACAACTAGATTTCTAAGAAAGAGCGCATTTTAAAGTATTTAATGCAATACAAAAGTAGGCGATATTTATATTTACATAAAATTGAACTCAATCGTTTCACAATATGGCGAATAAAAGATTGAATATCTATTATATACGATATTTTTATATATTGCAAATAAACTATATCTTGTTATTACATTTGACATCTACAAGTTGAATCTTATTGAATCTCTTAAATATATATTAAAATCGTAATAGCAATCGGTTGTACTTACTTGGAAGACAGTGAGTAGTGCGATGGGAAAGGTGTTGAAGTTGGTGGGCGGCGTGCCTTTGGGGAAATTGAACTGACCGCCGAATAGCTGCATACCGAGCAACGCGAATATGAGAATGAAAAGGAAGAGTAGGAAGAGGAGAGAGATAATGCTGCGCATCGAGCTTAGCAGCGATATCACGAGGTTCCTTAGGCTCTTCCAGTATTTGGTGACTTTAAAAATTCTCAGGAGTCTAAGGGCACGTAGGACGGAGAGGCCGAAAGAGCCGCCCTTCAATCTGGACCAGATCACCTCGAAGATCGAGCCTGAGATGACTATGCAGTCGAAGCGATTGAAGCTCGATTCAAAGTATGTGCGGGGACCGAGCGCGTAGACCTTTATAAACATCTCTATCATGAAGAGGGCCAGGAACACAAATTCTGCGCAGTCTGCGAATAAAAAGAGATCAATTTTCGAAGAGCTCCGACCTCTTTAGACCATTAAAAATTTTGAGGGCTATTAGATTAAATAGCGAATCGATACTCACAGAGAAAATCGGTGAGCCATTTCGACTGCCCGTGATGTTCAACGGCCACGCAGATGGTGTTGAAAAACACAAGGACGATGACGAACCAATAGAACTGTTGCGACTTGACGGAATTGCGTACCCAGAACCTGAATCTCTTTTCGGCTCGCCAGAATTGCAAACACGTGCCCTGTTTTTTCACCTTCGACTTGAAATAGGAGGTTCTTGAGAACCCTACAAAATAGAAAAAAATATCTTCAGTATAAGACATAATCGACACTGCTGGGACATGTTTTACAGACGCGAACCAGTCGATCGTTAAATTCATCATATATGTATCATAATTATATAATATATGTTTTTATTTTTTTTTTTATGCAAATTATATAATTTTTGTTCGATTTTAAAATATCTTTTCTATATCTACACGTTTTCACGTTTCTTACTACTTACTAAAAGCTATTTCTGCGATTGGATATCGCGTGATTTAAAATATTACGATCTATATTAAATCAAAATTTTTTCAACTTCAAATATTGCAGATAATGATATCTTTCTAAGTTTGTTTTGAAAGAAAATCTATATTGCGAGGAACTCTGAACGATTACAGAATTATTTTATATATCGACTGGAAAAATTAGAAAATTTCATTTTTCTTCGAAAGATAGATATAAATAGATACACAGTTCTAGACTCTAACAATAAATTATATATTCTACTAAGCGGATACGGCTATATATGGTGATGCGTACATGTTCTGACTACTCAATCGCTATGTATAAACGTTGACAGGCTAGTATCTATCCAACCTATCTATCAAATTCTATGGGACGGGATTCCTAGTACACTACTCAGGGGATTCAATTCCTCACTCGACAATACTAGATAATCTACTATTCTGTCAGTTCGCTTTAACTAGCTAAGATTATAGATTATATAATAAAAAAATTATTTGATATTTTATCATGACATAGTATATCTAAATCTGCCAGAAACATTCGCATCTAATCGCTTTGCCAGAAGTCATTCCACAGAAAAAAAGAGAAAGATTATTACGCGCTACAATTATCATTCTAAAATAAAATTTTACTGGTGTGGAAAAGAATATATATTTAAATTAACGAAGAGAAAGAGAGAGAGAGAGAGAGAGAGAGTAAATTTTTATATTTTTTAAAATGTATTTCTTATGTTAATTTTCATTTGATTGTTTAAATTTATATTTTTTTCAGAAATTTGATTCAAGTTTTATAAATTTTGCATTTTTGGACGATTGTGTGAATGTTTTCGGCCGCAAAGAAAAAATAATATTTATGTGTATCGCCACACCAACCAATAGAAGCAATACCTAGAAAACAAAAATAAATTAGCTGTCGAGTTCTTGAATCTGTCTTTTGCGCAATGTCCACGTGATTTCGAGTGATTTGTATTAGCCACAACATCAGCAGCAAGTCGATTTAATAATTATATAGAATGTAATAGATACATTTCTCTATCACGTGTATATATATATGTGATCTTATAATAAATAATATGTAATCTAGCTACGTGAGACGAACATACTTTGTCTGGGTGTGTAAAGTATGTTTTGCCAATATATATTTTTATATGAAAGGATCCACAATTCAAAATTATGTAAACATTATAAATAACTTTAATTCGAATAATAATATATTTTTTCATAAGAGATATTGAGATATTGAATTAATTTTTGATTGTTATTATTCAAAAGTTTATATCAATATAATCATCAAGTATTTTTGAGTATTTTAAACAACATCAATTCTGAAAAAAAGTGTATCATTTAACAAAAGCATGTAAAGCTATCCGAAATTATATCTAAATATCCATTATATTGGAATTACGTGTTTTACTGTGAGAAAATTAATTTCTGCATGTACATGTCCACAGATGCGTGACTATTGATACATCCTGTATATGCGAATAGATACCAAACAATTTATTTACCAAGCGATAGCCCGTGTCTAATTTTATGTAAATGTGATACGCGCACACACAATATTGCTTGTATATATGTGTATTTACCAACCATAAAAGAATCTTTCACAAATAAAAATACAAAAATAAAACAGTTACACGTAAGATTACGAATACAGCCTTGTTTTACGTTGCTCTTTACGAAAAGTCATGGCATTCACGGTTGTAGTTACCTTTGAGCTTTTTCTTAGGCACTGAAACAAGAGGAGCATCTGATAGCGTGTGTTTAGAATGTTCATCGGCAAAAATTATGGGAAGGGATCAGCATCGTTTTTTTCTTTTCCTCTCGATACGAAAGATAGAAATCAGGCGTAAACCCACAAAATATCAACGTCGATGAACGTGAAAATACGCTAACGTGCCAATAAATAGAGAGAAGTTTTAGAACGAGATAAAAAAAGGCGAGCCAAGATCTCTCGCACACCAACGATTTCCTTTGCACGAATTCTCAAGATATATCGCAATATTTTTATATATTCCTTAGATTTAATATCATTGTTTAGCTAATTTTATAATTCGCAAAATTTTAACATTGATTATAATTTAAAATTAATGTATATCTGTTTTTCTAAAATTTTATTAATTTAAGCTTATCAATTGCTTTTTAATATTATCACTCACTTTGTTTAGAAAATCGTTGATTGACATAACATAACTTCTGACTACTTAGAAATCGTGAAATCCCTTACTACTTGAACTTGGTCTCGATTTCACAATTTTGTATTTGTTCGAACACTCTGAGAAAGAGTTATAACTCGAATGTAAAAGAAGTGAACAAGAAAAAGAGAATACTCGATGAACGTCGAGTTGGCAAAATACAACTCACCATCGTCCTGATCGTCATCGCCTTCCTCCTCCTCCGTGTCGGTGCTCTTGCTCTTGCCAAGATTTTTCAGTTTCTTTTTCTTCGCCGCCGCTCTTCTTCTTACTGCGTAGAACATACAGAGAGATATTAAGTTATGCCAATCTTTCTAATAAATTATAATAATAAATAATTATTATTTAATTAATCTTTTATCGTCAGCTATTGAAAATATGTAAATTTCACGCTTGCTTTATGCCCGATCAAAAAGTATCAACAGGATACAAATGATTCATATTTACATGAAATAAAAAATGTGACAACGTATTATGTCGTCACATATTACGTTTTGTATTTTACGGTCTAATAACATGCGTGCAAATTGTAATGTCAAATTACTTATATTTCTTACATTTCATCAGTAATTTTGAATAAAATTACACATAAATCGTAAACACGTCAGCAAATATAATGAGAGAGAGAAATGTCATTATTTAAAATATATTTATATGTACCATATGCGCGCGCGCAACTGTGACAAAGAAAACAGAATGACTTATTACATAATATAAAAGATGAGAATTAAACTGATACGTACTCATGAATATCGTTATTCTATTAATTAAAATTATAAAACATTGGAACAAATATGACACCAATGTACTTCTCGCTAAAAAAAAGTCAAAATCCATTCGATTAAGTCAAAAAAAAGGTGTGAGCGAGAGTACATTTATAGGAAAGCATTTCATATAAATATGCACGAGCACGTTTCGAAGATATAGAGCTCGTCTCGCAAATCTTTTCGAAAGTGCAAACTTGAAGAAAGTGAATATTCATGATATCAATCGTTCTACGTTATATGAACCTTCTAATATGTGCATTTTCTCCTCTTCCGTGGTTCTCTCCTCGGCAAGTATCACCTCCTCTGAAAATTAAATATTATGTATTAATAGTAATCAATGTAATATTTTTATATTTCAATATACAAAGACAATTCATGCGTACAACAAGCTTTTGCAAGCACACACACACACACTCTCTTTTGAATTAAGATAGATTGACAGGAAAGCATTTCATATATGTTTGAAAAATTAAAAATTCAATCTTTGAAATCAGATTGAAATATAAGAAACACATTAATTTCTATTTTTTGCTTATCAGTTTTCAACTTTATTCTCGAAACATTATTTGGTATACTATATTTCTATATTATTTATAACGTCCTTCTTTGAAAAAAAAAGTATCTTTATTTTGCGTGAGATAGATTCCTGTCAATCTTTTTCAATTCACGTACTTCTTCTACGACAATTGGTCTAACCTGCTTTGCAGATCCAATTGAGGTAACAATTCAGTTCGCGCTCAAGCTGCTGCTGTCTTCGCAACTTCAGAAAGGACTGTCGGTTCTCCACTTTCTCTCTCTCCTTCGCAAACTCTCTACAAGCGTGATACAGATGACATGGGAGCTTACTCGGGAGCACTTTTATAAAGACTAAGTTTAGCAGGGGACTTTCTGGCAATACCACTGAATATTCTAGCAATATCGGCATATTTGATAAGCTAACTGTGTTTAAATAAAATATCATAGAAAATATTTCAGAAACAAATTGTTGCTTTTTGCGATATACTTGTTTCGTAGATTGCTTTAAACTAGCTTGTATTGTGGTGTAATATATTATACACAGAATTGTACAATCAATTTATTGTCAACTACTCTCTTAAATACGCTTGTTAATTCTTCCTAATTAAATATTAAAATAATCTAGCGGTGGTTAATTAAATAAACGAGCTGCGATACCAAAAATTTACATTTCTATAAAATACACATTTTTCATCGTATTCTCATCGCGTATTCAGTACTAAGTATGGTTATATAATCTTGAATTTTGTTTTTCACGTGTCAAAGATCACATACAATCACTTTAACTATAAATATAATACATGTATATATCCAATAAGAAAATAATAGAAATTTATAAATTAAGAAACATAGTAAGCTTTTTTGCAATAAAAGAAAATAAATATCATACAATAAGATACTTTCATAAAATATTAATTAAGATTTACTGTAATTAATAATTTTACAATTTTAGAATAAGTATTATGTGTGTGTATGTGTGATGACTGACTCCTTTTATATTTTTCGGTAATAAACTGATGATTGTTGGTTTATATTTTTAATCGTTATGATAGTGCTAAACACGCTAAGAGATACGGCTCATTGCACGCTAATATTAGGCAATGTTTGTTAATTGAAGACCTGCTTGAGTGATCCATTTTAAATAGGAACTGAACGCAGTGGTGAAGAGCTGCTTGCTCTTCGCTTTCCGATAAGCCGCCCGCCGTTCGACACGCGTTCTTTCATTAGAAAATTCCCTGACGAGGAAAGAAATTGATTCTAAAGTAATGGAACTTTATTTGCAATTTTCGCGAATTGCGGAAGCACGATCGAATTCACGCTCCCGTGAATCATTTTGGCGTGGGCAGAAAAATTGCGGAAGATTTTTAGGGAGAACGTACTCACCCGCTCAAGACACCAAGAACTAAGTTCAGCATGAAGAATGATCCAAGGACGATCAACGGTATAAAGTAGAGCGTCGTTTGTCTGCAAATCCGATCAGAATCGATATGAGAAGCAGTGTCGTGTATACACATATGCACCGGTTACACAGCCGAAGGTATATTAATTTAACGACAAAGGGATCGTTATGTGATATAGAGGCATCAGGCTGTATTCTCGCTGTACCAAATGTAACGCGATAAATATAATCGACCCGGTGTGAGAGCTCGAATTTTTATTTATCGTTATTCGATATTTTTTATTTCTCTTCACAAAGACAAATTTTATCCAACATGAAGAGCAAATTTTTATTTAAAAACAAATTGAAAATCCATCGACCTCATTTACGCAAAACAATACCAATTTTATGAAACCTTATCGTTATAGTAATCCGGGGAAAAACAAATAGAATCAGAGAAACGTGCCATGTTGTGGAATTAACCTAAGACTACTCGCTACATCTCCTTAATCACTACTCACTATCTCGAGAAGTAACCTAGCACACAAGTTTCAACTAATTAAACTAGAATAGTATATTCAATAATTTGAAAACTATATCTGGAAAGCTATATACAATATTAGGTTTTGGAAAAACTTCCAAGTAATTTTAAAGCATGGCATTTTTTTCCGATTGATATTTTTTATCCCGGATTATTCGATCACAAAAATATTTTTGAGATACAACAGTTAACGATTAATGACCCTTACAACCGGTAGAGCAATAATAGAGGACTTTGATATAAATTATTGTTTATAACTTATAACAATAAAATAGTTTAAAATTCTCCTCGTTCCACCGGCTAATTATTAACCCTTTCGTGAACAGTGAAACAAATATATCTTATCGATAATTTTTATACATATATTATAATGTGCTAAAAGATATATATACATATATTTAATTCTGCTATAAAAATAATTGTAAAATAGATTAATGCAGTCACGAAAGGATTAAGCACAATAAAAAATACATTTAACATCAATATTAAAACATCGAAGGAGACTGGAACTGACAATGTCATACTGAGCAAGGTGAACATATACGTCAGTGTTAGCTGTTTTTGCATTCCTGAAAATCGGCGAATTCGGCTAAAAACACAGAAAGGAGAGGTGAAAATACAAAAGAGTACAACGACCGAAGTGAAAAGTAATCAAATTAATTGTAAAAGGAATCAACCTTTAAAAGCGGGTGATAGAGGGTTAAAGAGGTACACACACGTATCAAATTTGATTTATTCGATAATATATTCTCTCTTCTATAAAAGGATAAAGGATTAATTGACAAGAAATTAATTCGAAAGCAATTAATTTGGTACAAAAATGTGTAATTCAAATGAAGCATTGACAGTTGATATAGGATTGATGACACTGATAGCAACATTCTATAGGATACATTGATTTAAGAATTTCGATTATCGATCTTTGATGTAACAAGAAAAAGAGAGAAAGAGACACTGCATAGGACAGATCGTGCGCGATAACGAGGGTAAAATTTTAGCAAAGAGACAGAGAAGAGAACAAGAAAGAGAAAAAGAAAAAAAAAGAGATAAAGAGACGATAAATAATAAACAAGAAAAGGACTTTTAACACTGAAGAACACATTTCTTGCTTTACCCAGTACAATATGGCAGTCCAGCCCTCCATAGTGATACACTGGAAGACAGTGAGCATGGCGAATCCGATATTATCAAAGCTGGTGATGCCTGCATTTGGTCCCTCCCATCCTTCCCTGCACGCCGAGATATTAGGGTTACACACGTTAGCCCCGGCTGGAGCATCAGCCTTGATGTCCGTGTTGCATGGGCTCGCCTGCTCGCCCTCCTTTACGATTGCTGCAACATTCACAACATATTATAAAATATTTCAAATACATCAACGTCAGGGGAGCACCCAAGAGAAATAACCCCAAAAAAATTTAAAATATATATTTGTGTACACAATATTCTCAAAAAATTTATCTTTATAATTTTTCATATATTAAATATAAAAGAGAAATATAAAAAAAAAATAAGGCAAATAGAAAGTATAACAAGAATTAGCATTATTCGAAAATTTCTGAGAAGTTGGCTGAATTTTCGAATACACTCACACATGTCCATTAGACTGAAGCACGTTTTATGCAAAGTTCCCGAATAAAACTCGAGGCCGATGATGGCGAATATCACGATGGCGAAGAGTACCAGCAAGCCGATCTGCAGTAGCGGCGCCATTGCCTTGATGATAGACTTGAGCACCACCTGAAGACCTGTGCGCAAAAAATTGCCGAGGAGTAATTAGGTCCAATCACCGTTCTCACAAGATAAATGCGGAAATCTAGGCTCGATATAACTTTCATTTCTCCCTGTTCGTGCATTGTTATCGCTTATTGCTTATTGCGAGATACTATACGGAAATTTTTACATAAATAATCTAACATTACTATAACATAACGTAATATGTAATACATAACATAATAATTTAATATTTTATATAAATCTGACTCAAAATTAATTAAAAATTAACTTGAAATAATATAAATATTTGATATTATTCAAAATTCTGCGTCTAAGGATTAGGACACCTCCGCCGCATCTAAATACAACATCGAACTTTCAATATAATACCTATATGAGCAATACTACTAACATAA